GACCCTAATGGGATAGGATCCCCCTCCCCCTCATTCGCGATCCCTCTTTCCCGAGGAAAATCGCCCGGTCAATCGGATCAACGGAGCTACGAGCTTTCGACGAAAATGCTCTCTTCACCCCTACCGACTCCAATTACGCTTTTCCGGGAATATATTTACGAGAGATAGATTGTCGAGCAGTGGTTTTCCCGCAGAGCTGGATGCGGATCTGTGACCGTGCTTTAAATGGCCGGGAAACTCAAAATCGAAATGTTGGTATCGATGAGTGAAAGACTGTTTGGCGAACGTTTACAGAATGCCCGAAAATATCGAAGCGAACCGGAATTATGACGGTTGGAAAGTTGAAATTTTAAAGTTTGAATACCGCAAGTTTAAATTATCCATGTTCGAGACTCACAACTGTTGGATAAAAATGCAGTCCAACGCATTTCAGTGGCCCGAAAATGAGCTGAACCACTTACGACTTATTTTTTGAGTTTTCTATCGATTTTTCTCCTAAGCAGCGCTTGTCTGGTGACCCACTTATGGTATCCACCAAAAATGAAGGCGAAATATCCACGCTTATATCCTCCTACTAACGGGCAAAAAAAGTCACGCGCAATTAATTAGAGCACCCTAAAAGTGTCCGAGTGGACTCCGCTCGGAGATAGGGGGACACATCGCAGGTATTGATGGCGAGCCCCCTCCCTCCCCCACTTCCCCCCGCCCCCAACGACCCTAAACGCCTCATTTAGTATTCTCGGGGAGAGCGTTTCAATTTGCATTTTTGCATCCTATCGCATGGCTCCGTTCCGACCCGCGACCCGCTCGCGCCGCGGTGTTTGCAAACTGCCCCCGCCCTCCCCCGGGCGAGCCACCCGCAATGACTTCATTGCTTGCGTGATTAATTCATGCCGAGATCTGGTTGAGCCGTGCGTGTCAAAACTTAACGGTCCGCCTTTGCGAGGCGTCACTGCATACTAACAGCCTCGGATGAGTGATGCCGATTATCCGTGGCCGGATTGCAAATTCCGATTAGATGCTCGCCAATAAAGGCTCCGTATATTTCTCGCTTGTTTATGAGCCGTAGTTTCTCCCCGCTTCTTCTTAACCCGTTTCTTTTCTCTCGACAAAGTTTGCAAAAGAGGCAACTTTCAAACTTCCCATTTTTTCTTGAATTTTTTTCACCGAAACCGTTTTTTCTGCCCTTCCAGTGATTAAAATTAAGATGTCTAGAGATGACCAACAGACAGGGTCAGAAATCGAGCATTGAAATTGCTTTGAAACCGTAAACTCAAAACTAAAACACATGGAGGAATTATAATTTAAATGAAAAATATTGTGTTAAAAGGTCAATTAAAGGGCTTGGAGGGAAAGGCGCATAAGTGCAGTTTTTAAAAAAAATTGGGATGTTAATGATTTTAAGTAAAACTAGTCTTAAGACATATTCTGTGAAAAAATTTGCTCCCAAATTCCAATGTTGAAGCATCAAAATGCCAGTTTGAACTTTCTTTCCACCATGTAATTTTGAAACTTCCATCCAACACGTATTTATCGAGATAGCAATAACTACACGTATGTGCCTTTGTCTTCCAAGTCCCCAAAGAAGATAAAATAAAGAGTAAAAGAGGTGACTTACAGTTGACGTTAAGGGTGAGCTTGGTTTCAAGTCGTGCGCTTTCGGGCATGGCACGGTTCCACACGACGCAACGAAAGATGGCGCCATCGTCGTCCCTTTTCGGGCTCAGGGATAGGATGGCTGAGGTCACGCCATCTTTGCCTGAGTGAGTGGCCGTCTCCAAGGGTTCGCGGATTCCTTCTCGGTACCACCTGAGGACAAACAAAAAAATTGAAACTTCCCACGACTTTTGAACGGTATTTTATGATGTAAAAATCTGCTGTATGCCGATCCCCGATGAGCCTAGAATTTATTATTTTCTCCATTCCCTGTCAATTCACTGAATTTTCCCGATTTCCAGGGACAATTTCCCTGATTAGAACTCAGGATCTCCAATAATTCTTTTTCTTTAGATTTTCTTGGAAAAAACAAGATTTTTCTCCGTGGAAAACTTGAAATTTTGTAAACATGCATTGTATTTGCGCATTGCCCGTTGATAATTTGTCTGATTCTTGCATGAGATCAAAATAAAAATCACTGAAATTTTCAGTTGAGGACTCCAAAGATTCTCTGGGTGAAAATACAATTTACGAGGGAAAATTTTGCAACAATGAAATGTAGTTACGTTCTTTCGTGGCGGAAACGAGGTTATGAGTTAGAAATTTGTAGTTCTCGCAAAACGAATTCCAGACGGAACAAAGTGGTAAAATGTTTGTTTAGGACCTATGGCTATTGGTTCTGCAATTGAGAACTGCAATTCTCTAGCTCTTCTGCAAAAAACACGTACGTGTATATGGAAAGAATGGCACAGACGTTGTTTCTAAACCGAGCCAGGGATTACAGTTCCTAGTTACAAAATGAATCTGAATCGTGTTTAATGAGTACTGACCTGATGAGGGGGTCGGGGCTGCCCCCGGCGCTGGAGCAGGCGAGCTCGAGGGGTTTGCCCTCGGTGGCGGTGGTGTTGGGGGCGGGGGAGATTCGAGGGGGGCCCGGCGGGGTGAGGACGGTGACGACGAAGGACTGCGAATGGAGGTCGGTCCCGCTGCCCGGCGCCTTGGCCCGGCACTCGAAGCGCCCGTTGTCCCGCTCGTACGACGCGTTCGAGATCAGCAGGTCGTATTTCCCCTGCTCCGGACGGAAGTCCAACCTAAGCAAAAACCAAAAACACACATTAGAAAACACAGAATAATCGGTGGCTGAATTGCAACGAAACCCCCGCAATACATGGGATCAGGACGTTGCATCCACCCGCGATGCATCCACCCAGCCGTTTAGTTAGGTTAGGTTAGCTTAGGTTGGGTTTGGTTAGGTTAGGTTAGGTTAGGTTCGGTTAGGTTAGGTTAGGTTCGGTTAGGTTAGGTTAGGTTCGGTTAGGTTAGGTTAGGTTAGGTTCGGTTAGGTTAGGTTAGGTTAGGGAATTTACATAAGGGTGGATGCAAGGTGGATGCAAAGTCACGCACTCGCAATACAGACTGGATAATCTCAAAAAGTCGAGGGCCGAATCAGAGACAAAGAGACCCTCCACTGGTATCTTGGCAATTCTTTCGGGACTCTATTCATCCAAGTAACATCCAACTATTGACCTACCTACTTGGTTGATGGTTATCAACGTGTTGAGAATTCATCTTAGCAGTTAGCACACGAACTGCAGTTTGAAAAAGTTCTTTGGTTCATACGTTTCATCATTCACCCAGTAGGTATGTCAACGGCTGGGGGAAAAATGGTGACTATTGAAGGTGTTCCGAGGGCAGGAAAACTTGCTTAGTGGGAGATAAAAAAGCAAAACTTCAAAATCCCAGAAATGTCATTCGATTAACTAAAATTGATAAAATTACCCCAATAAGGATCGTTTCCGAAAAAGCTAGGGAAGGAGGATTTTTGTCGTGCTTGGAAAGAACATCATTCTTGGTACAGGCTTCTTCTCTCTTTTTACTTTCTCGCTCCCCTAGTTTTACTTCACGGTATTAGTTTTAAAAACTTTGAAGGGGAGGGGGGACCCTTCCATTTCTGGCAATAAATTGATCAAAAGCTTACTTTTACCTTAGAAACTCTCCACCCCGTTTCAATCTTAATTGATTTTCCTTCTACATCTTCGAGTGTATTTTAATTAGACGGGGTTTAAAAGAGGGAAAAGGAGTCTCAAGAGTTCGTAACTAGTTTGTCGTGAGTGGTAGTCTACTCGCGTGAAATGACCGTCCATTCTGCACCGTAGACAGGCACGAGGGAGGAGTGGGGAGGAGGTGCATTATTTATTCAAAAATCGGGAAGTAATTGAATTTATAATAAGTTTCGCTCGTTCTGAGTCAATGAATTTACGTGGCGTCGCCGAGCGAGCGCCGTGAGTTGTATGCAATAGGAGGCGGTCGCGCGTCGTGCGTGTTGCGTCGTCGCCCCCGTCTAGACTCAATTACCTCCGCGGAAACCTCAAGTCAAGAATGCATGGCCATGGCTTTTTTCCTTTTCATCCGCGTGCTTCCTGTCCCCGCGGATTCGTTATAATTAATGCATGTGTCGTCTCGACTTGAAATACAGCTCTTATTACACGCAATTGTCCCGGGCTTCGTGGATCTTCTTTCTTATGGACGTATTTCTATCAAACGGAACTACGTGCATTGTGACGTGAGCCCTGTAATGCATATATTCTTATGAGTCTCAGGGCTCATGTCTTAATGCACATAGTTTTGTTTGATAGAAATACGTCCTTATGTCTTTCTCGGCGGTCTCGATAAGCACACTGCCGATGGCAAGTTTTAAGATTTTTGTTTGTCTTTTTTTCTTCATTGATTCCATTTCCTTTCCTCTACATTTTCCTGACTTAAAAAATGAGATATTTTCTTTCTTGTGTCTGCGTCTCGAACTTGAGATGTTGATTCTATCGCATTAAAAATGAAGAAAAATGTCTTAAAATCTAACCAGGGACCAAGAAATGCATTTCCCCTAGTATTTTTAATATCTTCGAAGGAAAATCATAGTAATTCCTTGCAATGGTATATTCCCGATGTTATATTGTCGAGTTTTACCGGGGATTCGTTACGACTGTTCTTTTTATGTTGCTATCTTTATTCTCTTCTTGATGAACATTGTAAACCTCATAGGGCTATCCTGAGGAAATCAGTTATTTCAGGAACGACTATGAATATTGACGTGCTAAGAAAAACTGCCGTGCGAACGTCCAAATGTTGCCACATTTACAGTGATAAAATTTGAATTTTTTAGTAAAGATATGGGTATTTTTCTTTGAAATTTTTAGATAAATTGGATCAAATTGCGAATGAAATTCTAAGAAGAATTGGGAGAAACATATTTTTAGGTTTCTCGGAGAATTCATGTTTTATTGGAGGATAAATGGCAACGTCTAAAGGCTTTTACGACATTTTTCCTTAGCTAGTACTGAGAATGGAGGTACCGACCTGTAGTTATTGTCGAGGGGCGTCTGTTCGATGGCGACGTTGTCGTGCGTGTGTCGGTTGACCCTGAGCCAGTAGAAGGAGGGGTTCTGCGACTTGAGCTGCGGCGGAAAGCGGCACTCCAGGGTAACGTCCTCTCCTTCACGCGTGTCCTTCATTTCCTGCTTTTCTTCGCCTAGCGACCATCCTGCAACACAAACGACAATACAAATTTAGTCATGAGCAGAATCGAACGTCCTATTAAAATTTTGATTAAAGAAAGGAAATATTGAAAAGTTGAATTGTAGTTAGTTTCTTCGTCTGAGAGACAAATTTTACGAGGAACAGAGGATTAGGTCTCCATGAAATTTTACTTTCAGACGCTACAATGTTCGTTTCCTTCAAGACCGCTTCCACTGGAAAAAAAGTCGCTTGGATCTAGAGTCCAGACTCTTAATAATATTGACAAGGAAAAATATTCTTGATTCAATCGACTTGTTGCTTACATCGAGAACCAAGCCTCTTAATTTGAGCGGGTTTTTTTTTATTCAAACAAAAATCCGATTGAATCAAGAGTATTTTTTCTCGTCACTATTTGCAAGTGAGTGGGCTCTAGATCCAAGAGCGCTGGGGAAAAAAGGATCTAGAGTTCAGACTCTTAAAAACATCGACAAGAAAAAATACTCATGATTCAATCAGATTTAAGCTTAAATCAAGAACCAAGCCTCTTAATTTGAGCGGATTCCCTTTTGATTTAAGCTTAAATCTGATTGAATCAAGAGTCCTTTTTCTTGTCAACGTTTTCAAGAGTCTGGACTCTAGATCCAATGTGCTTTTTTTGTTCTAAAGAGACTTTTTTTTCCAGTGCGCGCCTCATGCGGTACGCGTTAGGCCTTACTCCTATGATTTTAAATCAAAGAGTATAGGATTTTGTATCTGCGGGTCCGGTGAGCGTTTCGGCGATATCAAATCATCTTAAGCCGTGATAAATACTAATACGTACAATTAGGAAGGTAGTTGGCGGCTTTGGCGGATTTCCCGTGTCGGGGGTGGTATCCGGCGCTATGTTCCGCCTAATGCGGCTTGCGAATTAGAATCTGAGCTCGGTGCGTCGTCGGCGAGGGCGCGCCGGCTGATAAGTGGGCGAGATGGGATGCGCGGATAGCTCATGAAAACGGTGCTGCCGTGATAATCCCCGAATATTAATCCGGCCGAAAGCTGAGCTACGAGAGCAGGTAGGTGCGAGCCGCTTCCGCGCTGAATATTAACCGAGTTCCCGAGCACGGGAAACTGCGTCGGATCAGCGGAACCTCCCGGTCTCCCGCCTTGCCGAATTTTCCAGCTGGAACCGAAATTTTACTCAATTTTCCGATCTGATACCCAAATTTTACTCAGTTTCCCGAGCTGGAATCCAAATTTTACGAGCGTTTTTTCAAGTTAATAACAGGGTCTGTAAATATCTTTCAAGACAAAAATCGAGGACTTTTCAAACAGCAGGATTAAGGTGTTCAAGTTGTTCGTAGGGGACGTTTGAAAACTTATCTAGTACTATCAAGGAGGTACGAGAAACTTCAAAGATCTTTAATAGTATGCTTCAAAAATTGAAGTTGCCGCCTCCTGCGCCTTCATTTTCCGCTACAGTAGCGTGGCGTGCTTTGCGACGTATAGAATGATCCGCCATTTAAACCTGTAAGACGAATGGATAACACTGGAAAAAAAACACATTGGATCTAGAGTCCAGACTCTTAAAAACATCGACAAGAAAAAGTACACTTGATTCAATCAGAATCTAGCTTAAATCAAGAACCAAGCCTCTTAATTTAAGCGGATTTCGTTTTGATTCAAGCAAAAATCCTATTGAATCAAGAGTATTTTTTCTTGTCAAAGTTTTCAAGAGTCTGGACTCAGGATCCAATGTGTTTTTTCCCAGTGAAAGAGAAATTCTGATGGGTGGCTCTGAATGCCACGATAAGATTCTTCTTCGGGCCCCCCAAAATTTAAAAAACTCACATAAAGGAGGACTTTCGGTCAGGAAGGGAGCCCCAAAAACGTATCAGCACCCCCGAGAATTTTCGAGCCAGACCGACGTTCTAAGATCGGTTCTTCGCCGGATTAAATTCCTTGAAAAATCCTTGCTCTCCCTACGTATAGAATTTTAAGATGGAAGATCCTGGAATTGAAGACGAGGGCTAAAAATTGGGTAAAATGCGAAGGACGTGGCAAAGAGCCGGCATTAAAAAACCATCCGGATTCACCGGGTCACGAAAGGGTACGGGGCTAGGGGTTGGGGGCTGGGGGTTTGGCGCGAGAAAATTCGGGTGTTTAGCGTTGATTAGTNGGGGGGGGGGGGGGGGGGGGGTGGCGAGGGTGCTGGCGATAATTACTCGCGACTCGCAAGGGCAGGACGTCCTTCGGTGACGCCGAGCTCATCAAATTCCGCGAAAATTCATTCATTACACGTGCCGGTTTATTAATGAGTTCCGCACTTCCGCTCAGCCGCCGACACCGGGCTCCGTGCTTGTGCAGCGATACCCTCGTTTGTCTCCCAATTAAACGCGTCCATCCCTCATGGCAGTTTTCATCGCCTGTTATGGCTATACCATGCCTCCTAACACTTTCCTTCCGTCTTTTCCATACTCTCGGCCATGCTACCTACCATGGAAAATATAGGGGCGATTCCAGCATAATCTACGACAACCACCCCTTTCAACCGATAGCATCACTCTATGTCCCACTTGTCTCTTTTGTCTATAGCTTTGTCCATCAACTTCAATAATTAGCCTGCTGGCAACTTAAAAAGGGTGATACAAATGTCTCACAGCACTAGCACCAGGAGAGAGCAGTCCTGTGACTTTTGAACAAATTGAGATGGAGACTTGAAATTTTGAGAAAAATCACTGAGAAATGACTCGAACTGTATGTAACAAGGTGGTGAAATAGTGCTGGGTCCACACCATTTTGCGAAGAAAACAAAGTCAATAAGTTCAAAAAATTCTAATTTGAGTCAAAAATTTTTGAGCTCTAATTAGTACCAGTAAAAGATTGTAGAGATAGCGACTTCAGAGTCCGCTTACTAAAACTTTAAGGGGACCACCCTGAAAAGAGCAAGAACCCTATGGGTGATGCAGTCCTAGGGGTGATGCAGGACTTTCGGATCACACTGTATTAATGGACCCGGAAGCTCTCTCTTCCCTCCCCTCCTCCCTCTCTCAATCGTCCATAAACTCCTCGACGGCTACTTAGCGCTTATCAAGTGCTCGAGATTAATCCCAGTGCAACAAATGGCGCACACATATGCTCGCATAAGACGTAAGTCCGCTTGTGTGGAGGAGTGAAAGCTCGACCATCGTCGGCTATTCAGGCCCGCCAGTTGTCACTCGCTGGGGGAGGGGGGGGGGAGACTTGCCCTAATAGTTCAAAACCGCATAACTTCGATGGAAAAGCGTATGTAAATACGCTATTCGGGGCGGATCACCTTGTCGTTAAGGGCGACACCGAGATCCGTGTCCGGGCTAATTGATGGATGGTGCGGAGTCGGGGGCCCGATGCCCGATTTTGAGCGTCTCGCCGCTCGCCGCTTCCATTTATCATGTTCCGCGAGTGCGAGCTGCGAGCGCGAGTGGAGGATCCCCGCGTCAATTTGCCTCTCGAATTGGCTCGCGAATCCTCGCCACGTCTATCGATTGATATATTATGCAAAGCGCCGGGCCCTGTGTGTTGCGTGTTGAAGTCACTCGGGCGCGGTCACCGGATTTTGCTGAAAATTTGCGTGGTTCCTACGAGAAATATGGTGGTTTCTCGGCACGATTTGGCAACCGTGCACTCGCGGAGACGATCCCGACTGTCATCAAAACGGGAAGAAATGAATGGTTATAATAAATTGGCACGCTGAGGAAGACGGATTGGGTTTCACACTTGCGAGTGATTACGGTTCGAGATTAGAGCTTGTATTCGAATGTAACATTCTATAAATTTACTGATGATAATTTTTAAAAAAATGAAATATAATATGATCTTAGTGATTGATACAAACTATACAGTTTAAGTTTTACAATGTTTAGTAAACAAAGTGTCTCAAAGTTAAACTTGAGATTAAGGTTTTTGGGATCAAAATATGAAGTTTTTGTTCCATGATCACTTTGACCTTAAAAGTTTAGCCTCCCCCCCCCCCAAACCCTTTTTAAACTATGATTTCCGTTGTTTTCAGGTCAGAAATGCGTTCACTGTGTGAAAGAACATAAAAGTGAAAAATTGTATGCATTTTCATTCATAATTGTTGTCATAATCAAGGAGGGAAACTCCCTCAAAAAATCAAGAAAGGAGATCCCCTCCACGCTTCATCAACCGATACATCTCACCTCCAGCCGGTTACCTTAGGCACCATTCATCTCTTTTCGCTATGGTTAAGGCCGTTAAGGTGACGTTTCTCCCGTTCAATCAGGAGCTAAACAGTTACCGCGGGAATTTTTTCACTCGGGATCAGCCCGCGGCTATTCTCATCTCAACGGACACGAGAAAAACAAATAATTGTCCAAGACGGCTTCCTCCTCTAATAAGTTATCATCCGGGATTTCGCGGGGTTAATTGGTTAAACCGGTGTATCGAGGAACGGCGAAGGATAAATTAACCTCTTTTATTAGTCGTCCCGTTGGTCGGTTGACAGCCGTTTCGCGAAATCGAGAGAAAATCAACATAATTAGCTTCTCGTCGCTGGTCACCCCGTCCGGGCAATTTCGACGCGGTTTTTTTTCCTACCCGGGCGTTCGAGTCTCCGGAGTGGTCGGTGTTTTTTCGCGGCTAATCCGCTAGATGCCGCCGAGATCGGTCTGACCCTCTTCGCGTGTTGACTCGAGCAGTGTCAACACTCGATAAAAAACGAAGGTGAGACCGCGCCGTCGTAATTTTGTTTGCGGGATTAATGATCCAGAAAGTTGGATGAATCTCCGAAATAGCTGTCAGGCTGTTGCCGGCTTCTTCGGTTGATAGATTGACTCGAAAAATATTCGCACGTTGTTGACTCACTTTTTGGTCCTGCTTTATGTTGGAAAGATTGCTTTTTTTTTTTTTTTTTTTTTTTTTTTTTTTTCTTCAATAAGAATATTCATGCGGTCTGAACGGATAATTCGCACGATAAGGCGATATGTTCATCGAATATTCCAACCTGTCGAACGTTACGTTAGATTTTGGCCGAAAATTCATCGATGCGTGAACCGTTCAAAATCAGAATGCT